AAATAGGCGAGATAGGTTGGTAGGACACCTTCTCAGGCATGAAGGTCTAGTCAGAGACATATTAGAGGCAGAAACAGGAGTTAGGAGGGGTAGAGGTAGACCTAGATTGGATTACTCTTCGCAAATAGTTAAGGATGTGGGCTGTTCTAGTTTTAGAGAAATGCGAAGTTTAGCTCAGGAGTGGAGGTACGTGTCCAACCAGTCTTAAGACTGATGACCTTATGATGATGATGATGAGTTCCCTTAAAGCAACTTAGTATTGTCCTATACTATTCTCACAGGATCAAAACAAAACTACTGTCTATCATCGAAAACCCCATTTCTGGGACTCACAGTATGAAAATTGGCATTTTTATAGCAATGCGGTTGATGGATGTTGCACACATACGCACTTTTCGGTATTAATAATTTTGTTTATGCAATGCTAGTTCAATTTTGAAAAAAGTAAAATGTTAATTGCACTTTTAACGGGCGTCACCATTTTAACGCTTTCAAAATAGTCAATTAACAAAAGCACTAAATAAGTACATATAGTTAATCAACTAAATAGAACGTAACACAAAGAAACACAACACGCGTGAAGAATATATACAAAATAACAACGATAGAATAATAGGGATACAGAAAACAACTTACGAATGAAGAAGAGCTGGAGTGGTTGCTAAGTAAGAAATTTGAAGGGTATTTGTATAACAGGATTGTAAGTAATTAAAGAGAGGGATTCCGGCCGTGAATGCCTTTGTTCTTATAAAGAGAGGGAGATAATTCTAGAAGCAATAGAATTTAAGGTGAATGTAAGCGAGGGAAAACCACCTATTAGTAAGGGATGCATAGAGATATGGATGATGATGAAATTCTAGGTAAAGTAAGCGATAGCCCAATTTATTTTGAAAGGAAACAAAGGCATGCATAAGATAAGAAGTGAAAGGTTTACAATATTTACACAGGTGCAAGAACACAAAAAATTAATACACAAAAAATATACAAAATATTGTAGCGACCACGAGCGTGATTGTGTGCGATCGGACATACGTGTGTGTGAGCGGCTTATCGATTCGCCGACTAGCCGCGGGCGCCTTTCTTCATGTGCGCCGTGTCTGTAAACGTCTGTGTCGTACCTGCGTTCCGGGAAAGCAATTAAGCAGTTCGAAGGAAACGAAACTTTTCCGGACGGCTCGAGAAAGTTCCCGAGAAGGACCAAAAGAGTATTTAAAGGAAGAGACGATCGCCGGAGGGAGGAGAAATTAATTGACTGTTGTAGAAGTGAAAGAGTAGAAATAAATAGACCGTTGCAGAAGTGAATTAAGAAATAAATTGAGAGTGATAGAAGTGAAATAAATAGAACAGTGAATAGTAACAGTAGTGTAAATAAATAGAATAATTACCTAAGTTTAGTAATAATTTAATAGTGTTTTTAAGTTCAATAATAATTAGTGTAAATAAATAGTTTTCTTCTTAAAAGTTAATTTGTTAAACCCACGAACATTACAATATGTACAAAATATGAATAAAAGTTTGTCCGTTTCTTTCGTTCTTTTTTTTTGTATCCACTACACAACTCATATCGGTTTGTATCTGTATCGTGTTATAATGCTTTTAATTTAAGAAATGCTTCTCTTTATTCTAGGCAAATAACGATAACACCATCTTTACGTATGAAGAATATATAAACAATTGTAGAGAAGAACCATCTCGTGCTGTAATACAATTCATGTTGGACATGGATACCTATGCAAATCTATTTGAACATTGCAATGTTAATTGCTTGCTCGAAATCATGTTTTTAGCTGTACATCCTGATTTTGTACAAAAAGGTGTTGGAAAAGCACTTTGTACAACTGTAATTGAATTAGCAAGGAAGCTAAATTGTGGTGAAAATGTAAAAGTTCCATTGGATGACAAACCTTTGGGTTTAGAACCTCGACCGCGTATTGTAATTGCAGCGTTCACGTCATTTATAAGTCAAAGAATTGGCAAGTTCCTTGGTTTCCAGAAAATTGTCGAAATTGATTATGAAAACTTTTCATATCAAGGTGTAACTTACAAAACATCGGTAGGTTCTCATACTCCTACCACTACTTTAGAATACTATAAATTATGAACTGATTGATTGTAAAATCAGTAAGAAGTGTTAGGTAATTCATTCGTATATTTCATACACCACATGGTATCATATACACCTTAGTCGTCAATAATCCTTTGAAATTTATATTAAATTAGCATCGTTGGTGTGTTAGTTACTGTAAATTGTACATGCTCGGTATATTGTTATGTACAATTTTATGCACTATGTCTGATCAGTATTCCGAAATTTTTGAAAAGTAGCATCTGGAGGCACTGTAGAGTACATCTCATGATAGCACCACAACGATAGGTATGTAAAATGTATGCACAAAATTACCCCAATTACCGGGCCGCCAATGATTGAGAACAGTTAACAGTTTCGTAACCGCATTATCTTATCGCCTTTCAATATCGCAAGCGTTAACTGACGAAACACATATACCTATTCGTGACTTTCGCAACAGCTGACATAAACAGGTCAATTTCACGTAATGATTAGTAAAAATCTGCGTCCGTTGCGTTTGATTGGCAAAGTTACTGCTAATACCACAAAATACAAAAATAAATTGAGTGTGAAAATATGAAGATAAACCAATGTATTCACATGTATAATATGTTGGTCACACATGGATGGTTCAGTGGCGGCATCACGCGAATACGCGTTATAATCATCATTACCGGAACGGTTGGAGCTTTTGGTAAGTTTATGTCCCTGAGTAGTGCGAGATGGCTCATTCTATTTGTTCTTTATATTTATGCCTTCCTCTCCCTTAATTTTTTCGGAGTACTAATCAGACCTAATGTATATTGTTTAGATATAGGTAATGAAATATATACCTACATACTCTTGCTGATGAAACAAACGAAGCACTAATTGGATCATTTCCCAAAAGAATATATGATTTGTTAGAATTGTATCAAATTTTCTAATTTTTTCGTTCTAATTACTGGTTTCAATGTTGGTGTCTAAAATAATAAAAACTTTATCTGAAGTTAAATTTAATTATTTAATAAACATTAACTATATTTTATCTAGCTACTATGGTAATAAATGTACCAAAAAAAAATCGCAGTCCTTCAACTATCCGCAGTCACTTACACAAAACATGTTATAAGTATTTATTGCTGAATTACACATTTCCTTTACATGTTGTACTCTTTTAACAACACTAACACCGGAATGTTTATATTCAAGACAAAACAAACGTTAACGCATGAATAGTTATAGTACATGAAAAATGCAGTGCTTGTTGTCAATTCGAAGGTGGTCGCTCATGCCCACACCTGCCGAAATTATTCAGAGTCGCATTCACACATTTTGTGTATTTTTCGATAATGATTGCTTTAAAGAAAGAAATTTTCTGGCACTTTTTATAAATAATTGAATAAATGTATCTACTTAATCTAATTTTCATCTTCGTCCTAACTGTTAACAATTGAATTTTATATATGTTTTGATGAGTTTCAAAAATAAAAAATCTTAATTTTAAGGTTACCGCTTTATGTGCCGATTTAGAAAACAATGAAGTGGAAAAATATAAATTTCTTTCTAGACAAATCATCCAAGCGTTTCTAGATATGCCTGGCTGGAACAGACCTGAAAGTCCTTATAAAGGACTCATCATCATTATCATCATAACACGCACCTCTACCCTTTCCTATCCTGAGCTAACCTCCGCATTTTCCTAAAACTAGAGCAACCCACATCCTAAACTATTTGCGAACAGTAATCTAATCTAGATCTACCTCTACCCCTCCTAACTCCTGTTTCTGGCTCTAATATCTCTCTGACTGGACCATCATGCCTGAGAAGGTGTCCTATCAACCTATCTCTCCTATTTTTGATAGACTTCCATGGAGTCCTCTGTTCTCTTGTTCTTTCTAATACCTCTTCATTTCTAACCTTCTCTATCCACGGTATCCTCATCATTCGCCACCACATTTCGAACGCTTCTAACCTTTTCTTTTCCGCAGCGCCCACCGTCCATGTTTCGCAACCGTACAGCACCGCGCTCCAAACATAGATCTTTAACAACCTTTTTCGAATAGAAGTAAGAAGGCGAATCGACTCTGCGCTATACTCTGCTTTATATCCTTATTACTCCTTCCGTCCTGACTTATCCTACTTTTTCTCCCTTGCATACCAGTGTTTTTGTTTTACTTTTATTTATTTTTGATACAGTACCGTTTTATCAATACCACTTTCATATTATCTAAAGCTATCTCTAACTCCTCCTTGCTAGATGCTATTACTACTATATCATCTATAAATCTAAGCATACTGATATTTTGCCCATGTATATCTATCCCTGCGGTGGTATTGCCTTTATGTTGGTCGCGTCTTCGATATATAGATCAGAAGGTAGTGGTGACAGTGTGCATCCCTGTCTGACTCGCTTCTTACTATCTACTTCTCTACCTTGCAGCCCCAGCTCTATAACTGCCTGTTGCTCTCTATACAGACTGACTATCACTCTTCTAAATCTGCAACTCGTCCCTTCCTTTTTAAGTATATTTAACATCATGTCCTATTTAACAATGTCAAAAGCTTTTTCTAAACCTACAAATCCTATGTACGCACTCTCTCCTTTTTCTATCGTTTTTTCTATTGTTACCCGTAAAACTGAAATGGCCTTCCGCGTTCTTTTGTTTCTTCTAAATCTATACTGATCTTTCCCTAATAGTTCTTTCGCCCTCTTTTCCATCCACCTTTATACAATTCTAGTTAAGATTTTTGTCGCATGGGAAGTTAAGCTAATTGTTCGATATGTCTCGCACCTATCCGCGCCTCTCTTTTTAGGTGTGGTTACCACCACGTTCCGTTTATAATCCTCTGGTACTTTCACCGTCTCGTAAATATGACTAACTATGTTAAACATACGATATCTAACCTCTTCTCTTGCTCCTTAATATTTTTTAAGTTTATTAATGCTACATCGAACCCTCTCATTATGGGATAATCTAACTCACCTATCTACACACTCAGTTCCTTCCGTAATATATCTCCTAACTCATGGCCTTCGTATAGGTTCTCTAAATATTATTTCCACATATCTTAATTTTCTATGAAAATAACCCCTGCCTCGCTTCTTGTATTATTACTACTGTACCCTACATCTGTATTATTCCTTTTAATTATGTTATGAGCCTCATCGGTGTTACCTACTTCAAACTATTATTCAACTTGTTTACATATCATATCAATCCACTGTTCGTTAGCTGCCGTACGCTTCCTAATTATATTCCAATTTATAGCCTTATATCTTTTTTGCCCTTCTTCGTCTGTCCTGCTTTTACAGTTCCGCCTTTCTTCTATTAATCCTACAATCTCGTTTGTTATCCAGGGTATCTAACATTCGTTTTGTTTTAGACCTTCTTCCGCCGCCCTTAGTATTTCGTCTGTCCTTGTATTTAGCCTACGACGCATTTCGTTACATTTTAAGTCAAGACGTCTCCTACCGTCCCTGTTGTTTAGAATTTTCAATTTAATTATTGGTCTTCATAAATACCATGTTATTATGATATCTATATCTGCTCCTGAATATCTCCTACAGTCCTTCACTTAATTTTTAAATATTTGTCTAACAAGTTTGTAATATAACTGATATCTCCCTAAATTACCTGACATCTATCACGTATAACGCCTCCTAACGTGATGGTTGAAGAAAGTATTCTCGAAGGATAAGTTGTGTTTATCGCTAAGCTCTATTAATCAATCTCATGTATCATTACTATTGTCTAATCCAAAAGAACCTGCTATTGCAGCATCTTTATCTTCCCCTACTACTGTGTTGAAGTTGCCTACAACTATTAGGTTTTCCTGACCTTTCATTAAACTTAACACGTCTTCTATATCTGCATGAATCGCTTCCACTTCTTCATCACTGTAAGATGACGTAGGCATGTAGACCTGCATTAATACCGTTTTTACTGGTTTCGAGTCTAATTTAACCATAACTGTCCTATCGCTTTTTTGTAAATAACTTTCTACACTTTGCCCTGCTTTTCTACGCATTACAATTCCTACCCCCGAATTACCTTTCACAGTTCCTATATGTATTACTGTAAAGTCTCCACTCCAAAAGTCTCCAGCTTCGGACCAATAGACTTCACCAATGCCTACTATATCTAAGTCTATTCTATTCATCTCAACTTTCAAATTTTCCAATTTCCCTACTTGCTCCATTGTTTTTGCCTATTGCACTTATTGATGAGATCGATGAGGTAGTCCACGGCCAGATATCCGAATGGGGGAATAGTTTACGTCCGGAATGCTTCACCCCCAGAGGACGCCATAATTTTTATTTGTGTAGTACGTTTAAGTCGGGATCATTATGTGGTAGTTTCCCGTTGCCTTCCACATTCCAGTATTGTGCATCAAAGTGCTATACCAATCCTTGTGATCTCTGTCACCCTGAGTACTGAAAGAGCTGCTTCCCTCTTTCAGGTACTTGTCTTACTCTGGTTTCTCTTTAGGAATCCTCCGATTGTGGTTGAGCCTATGGTCCGGCTCCCTAAATCATTGAAACTCGCTTGCCGATCCACCCACTCTAGCTTGTACAAGGGTTTCGTCAAGGTTCAAGTCCCGTCGGATAGGCATAAAGGAGCCAATAAATAGAAATATAACATATCAATATATTGAAGTATAAAGACTATAACAATTGATTACAAAGGACTGCCCCACCAATGGGATTGTGATTAGCTATCAATATAGTCCTTTTGAAAAGTTTCTACGGAGTTCAACAAGATACCAGGTTGCAAAGACCAATATACATGAAAGGCCGGAAACCTTCTACACGTAGTTTTGAAGAAAGACAATTTGGTGACCTCAAACCAATTAATAGCTTTCGTTCTGGAAGTGTACTCCTTCAAATTAACTCATTCATTACGTATAAAAGAAATTACTAATTGAAACCATTATTTTGAACCGTAGTTGTAAAGTGAATAAGAAACAGTTTACTTAAGAAAAAAATTAATTATAGCTACTATACATGAAATTGGCTTTGAAAACTTACTTGAGTAAAAAAGCAGTAATGGGAAGGTTAACGAAACAAAATATTTTTTATAACAGGCATTTCAGTAAGGTAATTACAAATACACCTACGCAAGATCAGTTCTTATTTGAGGCAGGAACCATAAAAGTCTTAAACCTAATAATCTTTATCTGAGATAACTAAATTAGGAAGATGGTAAATAAAAAAATTTGTTTTAATCGAATTTAATGAGAATAAAGTGTAAAATTAAATCGAAAATCTAAAATTTTGATTAATTTTTTGCAACTGTAAAAAAATTATAGCCACGTGGCGTTACATACTCAAGAAAAAACTTACGACAGGAGTTCCTTTTACAAAATTATATATTCTGCAATAAAGGGTGATACTGCCCCAAACGAAAACTAATTTTCCTCAAAATGCTTACTACAAAATCAATGCTTACAAAACACATATTTATATACAAATCTACAGTTGAAGGAAACAGGGTTCGGTTTCAGCAGCAGCATATCCGCCAGCAGTTTTTATCTGGAAGAAAATTCCTTGCGCGGACTAATTATAAAAATCATGTGATCGAAAAATTTAATAAACACAAATGACCCAACAAACCTAATTAATTCGTAACGGAATTTTTCAAACAAAAAATTGTTTACAAAACTAATACTGTGTTTAAGCTGGGCTACAACTTTTACAGTAGGTAAGTACCTACTTTAATTTCAATATAAAAAAGAGAATGTACTTAATGGATTATGCCGTATTTTGTGTAGATACTGTTTAGTGTGCAGACTCAGCTACACTGCGTTTCAGCAATGTTAAATCAATGTCTCCTGTGATAGACAAAATTTGAAACGTGACAAATAAAAAGATGAAATGTATGCGTTCGAAACAATTAAAGAGAAAAACTATTAACTAACTGAAGAAAAACGTGCTTTGTAATATGTTTTAATGTTTCTACACTAGGGGTAACACAAAAACACGTTTCACACTACGTTTAGATGCAA